TACTGTGTTTGTAGATAGGGCAAAAGGATTAAGCGTTTTGAACGATGAAACTATCGTATAAAACCACGCGTGCTTGACCTATTACAACTTTTGTTTACTGGAAGGCTTGCTCTCCAGTTTTGTGTTGCTAAGCGGTATCCAAGCACGTGACCACTAGCTGCAAAGGGCCTATTTCCCTGAATCAATTAATTGATGAAGAAATTCTGTACTTCTAACAACATTTCTTATTAAAAAAAGACATTTATTATTTAGATATTGTCTAAAAGATATAAACAGATGGTTAAAAGAGAGATGATTTTGGTCTCCCAAAATTAAAAATGATCAAAAAGTAATGTACAATAGTTTTTCTTTATATAGCATACAATACAACACATTCATAGCAACTCCAAATTCAAGCATGGAAACTCTATATTGACTAAACTTCTTTTCAAATGGAGTTTTTTTTAAACAACACAATATCTGGTAAGGGGAAAAACGTTCTTGCAATTCAAAATCCAATCCGAAAAACGTAAAAATTGTTATATTTATTTCTAGTTTCGGTTTTTAAATCAATATTATAGCATACATGCTTCGACACTTGCCTGAATCGATTAGTCCGACGCTAGGTCGAAACAGGTCCTTTTTATACTTTTTTGGTCAAAGTTCTTGTATTTTTCGATTGAATCCTTTTTTAAGCGATCAAATTGAGATTACTGTTGATAAAAATAGAGGATCCAAGACCCCCTTTTATTATTTCGAGACATGTTTAGACAAGGCAACGAAAACAAGTTGTCCTTCTGATGTAGCCATCATGTGACTTTGTGCACAAAACAGCACTAGTTTTGTCATATTTTTTCGGCCCTAAATGCAATTTAATTACAACAACGTGTATTAAAACGCTTAGACTACAAAAATTTAGCTTTTAAAGTAAGTTCTAACGCTTTAGACGCAGCATTTTGCTCAGATACAGACCGACGCTAACTCGGTTGACAAAGTATTGTGTTACTCGTGTAGTGCTTTATTGAGGCAATGGAGGGACATTCAAATGTTTTTCACTTCCATAATACAAAATTACGAAGAACATGACATTCATAAATCAATTACTTACCTTTTGGTTGATAAAAAGAAATAAAATATCTATGAAAAAGTGGTGAAAATCAAGCTCGTTTGTGTCTATCTTGTTATTATTCAAAATGGCAGTCATTTATTCGAACGGTTGAGCAAATTCCCGCCGAAAGGCTTCCAGTCACGTGATGTAACGACGCGGCGCGCGCGCGAATTCACTGCATTTTCGCGCCAATATTCAGCATTTCATGATCTACTGAGGACTAATGCTGAGGGACTAGACTCGAGGTTTAAAAATTTACGAATTATTGAATATTTCAGAATTTCTAGTCAATTTCGAAATGTTGGTAAAGCAAAACGATAAATGCATACCATAAATATATATTTTTGAACACATATAAAAATCACTACTCACGTTTTCTGTTTTCACTTGAATAGCAATGATCGATTTGGGGATACGATACATAATCTCCATTCGTTTGGTAAAGACTATCTATTTACCCTTTGCTGTATCTATGGTAACTGTACGCCGACTTATTTTCTGTTTTAGATCCAAGGAGTGATTCCAGATTTGGATTTTCCACAATTTTGGATTTTGAGGCAAAAAGTAAATTCTAAAAGAGCAAGAGAAATGGGGATCAATAGGCCTTTTCTGAGTTCAATAAACAGGATGCATTGTGGTCTAGATTCGGTACAAACAACACCATATACGGCATGATGTTTGTTTCTCAAAAAAGGTCTATTGTGTAATTTGTTTTGTTTTGGTCGTACAGGAAATGAATTTAATAGTGTCAACAGTATCGATCCGGAAGCCACTTGACGGCCTATATAACACACCTACCTCCGCCAGGTTCTAGGTACTACAATTGCCCTTTCTGCCGCTAAAATCTGGCGCTTCTTAGCACTACTGTGCAGATTCAAAGGGTGTCCTCCTTCCGCAAAATTAACCAGACAGACCAAACATACTAAAATCCAATGCGATCTCTGTTTTAGCCGCGCTTTGACTTTGATTTGCAGGAGTATCGATAAAWTGCTAAGAATTATCCAAACACGGTTTCTATTATGTGGTATATGGATAAGTCGTAATATTTTGTTACTTGTTACTGGCTATCACAATCACACGATATYCCATTTAGCCAGGCTATTGTCCTTACACACCTTTAAGATAACTGCACGGTACGTGTGTAACTAGGGTAATATTCCAGAATTACTTTCTATCCCTTAAGACAAGCTGAAAAGTCGCGCTAGGAAAAAAGAAAAA